ACCAGAGGAGAAGAGTAACCATCAATCATAATGAGCTGTTCTTCTGAGAACTGCAAAAATGACTTCCCTGACAAACCACCAGTGCAATAGTGAGATGAAGACTGTGGATGTAACAGGCCACTCTGATTGGATTTAAGGCCCCCTCCCCAATGTGAAACCCATTCCTCCCACCTTTATCAATATCCATGAACTTGCTGCTAGGCAGGTAATGGGTCCTAGAGAGGAACCTACCACTATTATCCTACTAAATTGACACAGTATTTAACCAACTCCTAATGGCTAATCATTATACCCATAGATTAATGCATCTGTCAGCCTTTATCAGTAAAGCTTCCATTCACAGTTGAAGGTGATTATCGGAAAACCCCACAACAGTTTAAAATGAAAAATATTTAAATATGGTGGGGGTGCTCAGCTCTCAAACAGACATCTCAATCATGCCCTTGCTTCCCAAGGCTCAGGAACCATTGCAAAAGAGGGGGAAGAAAAATGGTAAGAGCCAGAGGGGGTGGATGACTATAAGGAAAGTGTGGGTTTTTTGGCCACAGTGAGGCAGTTGCACAAATGAACTCACAGCAGTTTCAACAGCATGTACAAGTCCTGAACAACCTCAAGCCAAACAAGAAGCCCACAGTGAAAGAGGAGGTCGGTTTTATATTGCATTCCTAGCTGAGGAGCTATTTACAATTGATAGCTTCTGGGAGAATGAGAGTCCTTTTTCTTTTTCTTTTTCTTTTTTGTTTTTTTAAGATGTGGTTCCTGGTTGGTTGACCAAGTTCCAGTGGATGACCACACATACATGAATATATAAGCAGCACAATTGGGACTCTGTAGGTTAACAAAAGAGAAAAACAAAAGAGAACTGAGTAGGTAGTGAACTGGGAATGGATCTAGGAGGACTTCGGAAAGGATGTAAATAGGATAAAAACATACTGCATAACATTCTTAAAGAACTAATCAAAATAGGGAAGAAAACGGAATTCCTTTTTTAGTTTTCAAACATGGTCTTTATGCTTGAGGTTAGATCTGGAACTACAGTTTTAATAGGAAATGCTCAATACCTTTGTATCACCAACTCCTTACTTTCCCTATCTCCAGGATTCTAACACTGATGTCTACACAGTACATGTTAACATATCAGGCACCAGGAAATCTAGTTAAAGGCATAAGGATGTAGGCTTGCTATGTAAGCTGTCACTCCTTTAGTTATGCCAGATTGAGGCAACAGAGCTAAAAAAAAAAAGTAGAGCAATATGACCTCATGTTGGCCCTCTCAATATGCCTTTAATGATTCTCTCTCTCTCTCTCTCTCTCTCTCTCTCTCTCTCTCTCCCTCCTCTGTAGTGACAATAATACTGGTCTAAGTTCAGCACTGTCTTATAAAGAGTTAGTTTAGTGCAGATATGTGCACACTAATTATGAGATGAAATCAAGTGCCTCTGACTGGACAAGTGAGTACTAACCTATCCAATCCCCGGGGTCTTTCCAACACTACCACATAATCACTCTATAAAAGTATTTGGGTAGCTTTGAATGGCTGAGCTCCCATTTTCTCACTTCCCTCAGTCTGGGGCTTGGCATCGGAAAAAAGATGAGAAGGACATAGTGATGTGCACACTGGAGCTGCACACTGAAAGCACTCTGCATTGAATCACCGTCTCTGTTTGTCCAGGGGAGCCTCTGTAAGGCTCTTTTCAGGAATCTCCTCCCCAAACCAAAAATCTAAAGAGGTTGCTATTTACCCCATCATTTGTAAATATAATAAATACATATGGATTATTTCCCTTATTTAACCCACTTCCCAACAGGAACAGCCCTTTGTCTACTATTTAGTCAATTAAAATCATTAAAGTGCTGTAATTACTATTAAATTAAAACATCCCCTTGCTAATGAGCTCTGATCTAAATATGCTGTTTTGCATTGACTTACAAGTATTTTAAGACTTCTGTTTAGATTTTTAAAATATGCTTGTGAGGCTGGAGAGAAGGCTCAGCATTTAGAAGCATATGCTATTCTTGCAGAGGTCCTGAGTTTAATTCCCAGCACACTCACAGTGGTTCATAACTGTCCATAGTGACAGTTCCAGGGGTTCAGATGACCTATTCTGACCTCCTAGGGCACCAGACATACATGTGCTGCCCTATCATACATACAAGTAGACACTCATACACATAAAATAAATAAATCTAATCTTTAATATGCTGTTTATGATTCAGTTAGTAAAATTCAAAAAAGTAAATATTGGTAAGTGAATACAAAATTCTTCCTGCAAGAGGACTGTCTCAAGTTTAAGACACAGATCAACACATGAGCAAGGAACTCAATATGATCAACACCTAGAGCAAGGAACTAGTATTGAACTTTCTGTTCTCCAAACCTTCTGCACTGTTAGATGTAAAGAACCACTGATGAAGATTCACAGAGTACTGCACAACAGGCTTACTTAAAACATTTTGAATATACAAATGTAGCTAGGTAGATAGGTAGATTATAGATGTTCTTCTTAATTTAAGTGCTACCAATTAACTGAATTGAATAAGAACACAAAATGTGGAATAATTACATAGAAAATACAATGTGTGAGATCAAGAATCCCAGACATGTCCATCTGATCCTCTAAATCTGTAGAATTCTGTAGGGAGAAAACTTGGTCACAAGTACTGCTGACCATGCCCACTTTGGGGTGGTCAGAGTTATGTGACAAGGGTTTAAGAAGGAGGGAGGCGCACAGCAGCTCTCTTTTGCCTGGGTGAGCTGACTAGGAAGCATTTCTGGGTCCCTCAGGTGCAAATCTGGTCACTGGTTCTCTTGCATGAGTACTTTTACCATAAACTACCAGTTATCAACCTATTTCTGACTCCACTTTGTAAACATCTACAGAATTTAGTGCAGTCTTATGAACCAAAAGGATATTTAATAAAGTGCATCTTTATAGATAGATAGATGATAGATAGATAGATAGATAGATAGATAGATAGATAGATAGATAGACAGACTTTTATTTAATCCCAGCACACGGGAGGCAGAGGCAAGCAGATCTCTGTGAATTCAAGACCAGCCTGGTCTACATAGCAAGATCCAGGACAGCCAGGTCTATACAGAGAGAAACTCTGTCTCAAGAAAGAAAGAAAAGAGAGAAAGAGGAAGAAAGAAAGTACACCTTTCCTAGTTTCCCAATAAATTTGACATTTTCATAAAACCATTAAAAGTTAAGAACCTGTCTCTGGATGGAAGATTACAGATGATATATTTATATACTTCTGAAATTATTCTCATACTGTGCTACTTATAATTAAATTTATCTTTTAAAATACTTAAGGAAGGAACTTTATAACTAGAAATAAAGAAGAGCAAAATCAAGTAGAAAAAAATAGGTAAAATATAACAAGAGGTGGAAGGTGGTGGCCCACACCTTTAATTCCAGCACTCAGGAGGCAGAGTCAGGTGGATCTCTGTGAGTTCGGGGCCAGCCTGGTCTACAGAGTGAGTGCCAGGACAGGCTACAAAGCATTACAGAGAGAGAGAGAGAGAGAGAGAGAGAGAGAGAGAGAGAGAGACAGAGACAGAGACAGAGACAGAGAGACTATAAGATAGCAAGAATCAAAAGAAAGAAATTTCAATAGTGACACTAGTACCTCTACAGGGAAAGGCGAGCTTTCACACCTTAGTTAGCCTATGCTCAAAACACCATTGCCACATAATGCATTACCAATACACACACATGCCTTTTGACATGCAAAAATATTACCCAGCCAACAACGTATCTCCACTCTTCTGTGCATGTCGAAGTTCATGATAAGAAAATAGTGGAATCATAAAATGGTCCGTCAAACCAAACTGAGGGAGACAGTAGAAAAACCTTGAGAGTATAAAACAACTACTCAAAGGTGAGATGCAGATACTACAAAAATCTTAAAGTTACGTATGCATATGTTTGTACATCAGTGGTCTTCAGACCATGTACTACACTCAAATAACATGTTTTATACTTGGAAAAGAACAGCAAGTAATAAGGAGGGAACATGTATAGGAGGAGTTTTCATTACATCACTTTTGGGGGGTCTCTACATGGTAAAATTTGAAACCTTATTTCAAAAGTAATTTATTTTGGTCTCAGGTTTTAATGGGAGATGAGCCTTGTATACAAATCAAGATATAAAGTCACTTCTCTGAACTCTGAATAATCCATGCTCTATCATCAAATACTACAGATTTAATCATCTCAGATCAACTGATGTCCATATTGCCTAATCTGTTAAGTCCTTAGCTTTTTACAAAACTGAACTGTTAAGTACGTAGTTCTTTACAAAAACTGACAACCTTTTTCCTTTTATTCAAGATCTGAATCTTTTTAAATATGTAATAACCAAGAAGCTAATTCAGCTCTGTGGTTAAGTAGTATCTAGCAGTTAAAAATCATTATGGAGAAAAAAAAAAGAATAACTGGACACATGGTGATTTACCTTGTTCTACGCAACTAAAAGTAAGAAAGCCTCTGCTGCAGGAGAAGAACAGTGCTGTTACCAACTAAAGCCTGGCACTCTTGGAGACAATCTACCTTCTGCAACATGGTGTCTGTCTCCCACGAAGGTTACAGGATGGGCAGCAATGTAGTCTAGATTTAACAAGATAGCCAGTCAAGGTCCACACTCTGGTAGATGATGCTTAGGGGGTCTAATCCAAATGAACATTTTAAGGTCTTCTGCTTCTTCTGGCCTAGACAGAGCTTGTTTTGTCCATTTCTCCTACAGGCACTGCCAATGACTCCCCTAATCTCTTCTCTCTACCTGAAACATTCTATCATGTGACTGGAGACTATCTCCCTATTCTTAGGAACCCAGTTAAACTTCTGGACATTGGGAAGCTCATCCCAACTTCCCTACCCGGGGTTTTACCTTGGGCAAGGATTTCTAAACTCTGGTGTGACATTTGACTGTTTATGACGGTATGTCATTGCTTCATGACTCCTTGTCATATCCATTTTTAAACAGCAACTTACCTGTGAAGGCATGTTAGCCCTCAATACAAGATCCATTTAATATCCTTAAAGTTGACAACTCATATTTTTAATGCAACCATTGAGTTATCTCATTCCTCACATGAGAGAGGTGAGGAACTTGTCACTGGGGGAGAAGCCAAAGGTGGGGGTCAAGATCACAAATTATTCTCTCTTTCCTAATACAGAAGCTCAGAGGCAGGGGGCTGGCATGGCAGTTGGAGTTATGAACTTACCCTCTGGCTACTTGCCTACATTTTTACTCAAATTCTGACTGCTATACTGTATTGCTGGCAACGTCAGTTCTCTTCAATAACAAAGACTTCCCAGTTCAGAGTATACACTTGTGTGGTTAGTAGGAAAAGTGAGCAAAAATCCAACATGATAAACAGGGAGGAATGTCAAACTCTTATTCAGTTCATGAAAAACCTAGTCATAATTCTAACTTTACTCCCTGAAGTATGGTGAGAAGGCATAGCTCATTTGGAAAATCTGACCCACAGCCCAGGACTCGATACAGTGAAATGCTTTGTCCCCTACTGCTCTTACCACACCAGGAGTGTTCTATATGTAATTATTTAATCCCCAGCCGAAAGCTAGCAGACAATGAAACCCCCACAAAATGTTTACCCTGCTGAGGTGTTCAAGTATCAGTTCCACAGAAAACATTTCCAAAGCTTTTCATGTCATTTTTCCAAGCCACCTTCTCAGTCATGCCTAAAATGCCTATATTTGAATATTCACCATCTAGTAAAATATAGCCTTGTCCAGCAATTCACATCATTCAACCACCAGAACTTTGGTGGCACAGGTAAAGTTTCCAGTCTTGTTTTGTTTGGGTTTTTGACCACTTTTTTTTTTTTCTTCCCATGCCTTTGGGTGGTTTTGACTGTCATCTGTTGCTGTTAGATTTTCCTCCGAGGCATCAACTTGCTTTCATACTAGTTCTTATACCCATCAATGGCTCCCTCTGAAGAGCCTAACAACTCACAGGAGAATTTCCCATATGAGGTATGCCTTATACTAATAATAAAAGCTATACGGGTTATAGTAGGAAAATAAGGTAAATATAGTTACTGCCACTGACCTGGACAAATAAAATCCATTAAAATGGTAAATTTTGTCATCTATATTTTTATACCGACACAAAGCAAAGGCCATAAGCCAAGGAAGTCAACACAGGGAGAAAAGTCAAGTAATGGACGTGGATAGAGAAAGTGGTTTTGACTTTCTCAACGGGGGTCTTGGAAAAATATCCAACCTTCCAACATGGAGTCTAGAAAGGAAAGGAGACTGTTGTCCAAACAAAAAAAAAAAAAAAAAAAAAAAAAAAAAAAAACAAACCCTAGCCCTCTGGTGGTGGGATTCTAGGATTGCCCGTGGCAAACAGCAGCTTTAGACAGATCGCCTTTGCAATGGGCTTATCTACCTGTCACAATATAATTCCCAGAGAACTATTTTGAACACTTTGTAGTGGGGCACTCAAGCCAAACAAACAAGCAAACACTGGAAAGCCACAGATGATGAGCTGAATGTGGGGGCAAATACAGAAAGGATTCATCATGGAGCAGATTGCAAACTGCTCAAAGACACCCCATGGTGGACATGCTTCAGGAACTCAGGAGACAGAAAGAAGTTGAACCTCTTGAAAGAAATAGGAAAAGAATCCCAAAGTAATTTACAGTTCACCCCAAACTCCCTTGTGTGCAGTAAGACGTCTGGTTCATTGGACTGGCTGCCCTGAAGGTGTTCCTTTAGAAGCGCTTAGTGCTGACACCTGGGTGGTAAGGTATCAATGAGAGTTCAAAGAAATACTTCAAAGAATGGAGGAGGTGGTGCATGCAAATGAGCCTGATGTATTGAATAAGG